TTCTTTTGGAAACCAAGTAAAGTTTCTTCAGGAGTAATTTTGTTTCCTATGCAAACTGCCAATTGGACCGGCAACATAGTAAGAAGAACAGGGTTAAAGTTAGGGAAGGAAGCCATTCTAGTCGTTGTCGTCTCCTCCTCCTCCTCCTATCATCATCATCATCATCATCATCATATTAATTGCTAGACTGCCATATGAAGGACTCCAGACAGTTTTTGTCTCTTCTTCTTCATGAAAGCAGGGTTAATCAATGGCTCCCCAAGTTTGGGAGAGCTTTGATTGTTGTTCAGAGTTCTGGCATGGGACTAAGAGTCTCTGCTTGCTTCCCATCTGTCAGTCTCTGTATTCCTTTCTCATTATGGCTATTGATTTTGTTTGTTTTGTTTAAAAAAGGTAGGGTTTTTGTTCACAGGGAAAGGATATGAAATATTTAAGACCACTCTTACTGTTCTATGGTGAGCATAATTGGTTTCGCCAGTCACCACACTGCAATCCAGTGATCATATGTCCTTACTCACTCCAGCTTTTTCCTTGGGCCTGGAAGGGGCACTAGGATTGTCCAGATGCAACTCTTCATAGAAAGCCAGTGTGGTGTAGTGGTTAAGAGCATGGGACTGGGACTCAGGCCATCTGGGTTCTAGTCCCTGCTCGGCCATGGAGCCAACTGGGTGACTTTGGGCCATAGACTCACAGACTCTCAACCTCACAACCAACCTCACAGGGTTGTTGTTGTGAGGATGAGATGGAGGAGGAGAATGATGTAAGCTGCCTTGAGCCCTTTGTAGGAAAAAGGCAGGATAAAAATCAAAAAATAAATAAAATAAATAAAACAAAATAACCAGGCTTAGTGTTCAATCACTTGTTCAGCTAGGCACCTAAAATGCCTGGAGCTCAGGTCCATAGAACAAAAAAATGCACAATTCTGCACATTCTAATTAACATATACAAATATATGTACATAATTAGAAATAATTGTTATAATTTACATCTTACAGAAAGCAAATCAATTTGCATCTTACTTGCTTTCAGGACAAAACTGTGCAATGTCCTAAACTTTGCTTTGCTTAAAACTTGCCCTTTATGCACTCACACTTTCCTTGGATTTTCAGGGACAAATCCAGATGGGGAGGATGAGGAACATTGAACTAGCAAAGAGCACTGTGACACTTTAAACATCTGCAAACTGGGCATTGCACACTTGCAAGGGAAGATAGGAATCAGGAAAATATTTAAAGCACCATAATAACCCATGATTTTAAGTTGCAAACTTAGTAGGGAGTGACCCCTATTAAACAATGTGGAATTTATTTTTAAGTAATTCACCACTTGCTCTTTCCCTATTCCCCATCACCAACAGCACAACGCTAACAAAGACTTCAGAACTGAGAATATAATTTTGCATCTCCTAGTCCCAAGACCAGGTGAGGAAGCAGAGAGAGTTGACATCAATACTTGTTCCTCTTTTTATTTCAAATACTTTATTTTGGTAGCTTCTGGGATTCTAGAATAGATTGTTTCCTACTGTCCTTACTTCAAACTTCCTGAAACCCTAAAATATACACTAGATGTTGCAATAGTAAGTTTCTAGCAACTTCATTATCACACAATTCTTCAACCAGCAAATGCACAGTTATAGAGCTTCTTTAGGACCAACCAAAATGCCTAATAGCACCATTGCCCAAATTTATATATCAGAATTTTATTTCTCATGGACCAGCATAGCTATTTTTGTTTAAGGTTATTTTGTTTTAATAACTAAAATTACCAATACTCATGTTTCTCCTTAGATCCAGATAATGGAACTACCTGTTTAGCTCTAAGTAAATTTACTAATGGATACAACTCTGCTCTGATATAAACTTACGGGGGTGTAAATCCCTTTGAATTCAGTACAACTTTCTTCTGAGTAATTTTATCACATAATTTTTAGGTAATCCTGAACATGTTTCCAGCCCAGAAATATTTCTGTACTCCCAACTGTTTCCCTGTTTCGTGCTATTTTCCGTACTTTCTCAGTTATCCTTTCCCATTCTACAGGTCTCTGTGCATGCCCAGACATTTTTCTGCTTAAAGCAGAGAAGCAAATGATGCCTTTTACAGAGTGGGTAGGGGAGAGGCCAGGGTCACTCCCTTCACCCTGCATCGGCATTTGAGGCACCCTGGAAGATTTGTGGACACACTATATTATGATTGTCGACATTCCAGAATAGCTATTCTAAGAGATTTTAAATCGCTTCCATTGATGACCATTGAGAACAAGTTTGATTTTAAAGTGAAGAATCACCAGTGTTAATTATTTCTTCAGATACAAAGACAACGAGGGGCTATGCTAAAGGATAAACAAAGCTTGGTTTGGGGATCAATTATCTTCCCCTCTGCATCTCAAATATAAGTAGCTACAATGATCAACAGAACTGTTTGATCACTAAGGCTGCAATCCTTTAAAACGTTTATCAGGGAATAAGCCCCAGCAAATTCCATGAGACCTATTTCCAAGTACAGATGTAAAGGATTGCAATGTTAAACCTCCTGAATTTTCATAAAGTTTAACAAAGAGCTTAAGAAAGGAGGACATACATTTTACAAAATGAAACAAATCCAAATGCAATCCATGTGGGTGTTGCATGTCAACAAACATTTTCAGTAGAAGTCAGAAACCTGGGACTGCCCAAAGCTCCATATTCCAGAGACTATTCTCTTTAGATTAATTGCACCAAGGGAAAGAAAAGCACGCATCTTTTAAAGCTGTTGATCCCTCCTGAGAACAAGTTAAACACAATGCATTAGAAACTGATTTGGGATATAATAACCTAGATATAACCTAACCCTAACCATGCAACAGTCGTAATAACTGGTCAGCATCAGTTAGCGGCCAAAAATGACAGCATGGTGGCAGATGAAAGGGACAGTTCACATTATTTTGTTCAGTGATTGGCACAGGAACTGACAGTTGAATTGTCATTTCTGCAACTCCCATCAGGAAGAGAAAGCCTGCAGGCTTGTCAGAGGCACCAAGCGCAGAAAATCCTAAATGACCATACTATTTGCTCACATTTTATTGGCGTGCTACCTACATTTCCATCCTGAAAGCAGGATATTCCATGGTAAAGATATAAGCACTGCCCAAAGTCTCAAGTTCAGGGTTCCAAATCCAGGCAGACTCAGGATTAGCACTACTACCTGAGTTACTCTTGAGTTAACACAATGATAAAGAATTGAAAGTGCCTACAACAGGGATAGAAGGTCTCCCTCCTTACTATGCTCTGCCCTGCTTACTTTGCTTTTATTGTCATATAAAATTTGTATTCATCATCATAATTGGTTCCTTCTGTGTGTAGTGCATAGGGCAGCATAATGTGTATTAGACAATTTATAATGGACAAAGAATGATAGAATAGTAGAGTTGGAAGGGGCCATGAAGAGCATCGAATCCGACCCGCTGCTGTTACAGGACACCAAGTTACATCATCCCACTCAGTTGCTTGCTAATTTCAAAAACAGATCTGGTCAAGGAGATAAACATATTGTTTCATAGCATTGAGATCAAAATCATCCACTGCTTATGTCTGCAGACTGATCCAAGGAACGGTCAAAAAACTGGCAATCCTAGATATACAACGCAATCCAAAAAGAATCCAAAAGAATCTGTAGCAGAGTGGCAAAGCATGGCCAAGGCAGAGGAGTGGAGATTTTCATAGAGTCTGTAGACAAACTTCATGGACGGGCTTTAAAATATTGGCAAGATTTTACCAAAGCACTTCAGATACATCAGATGTGTTGCTGTGGTTCTTTCCATATAAACATGTCAATCTGCATTGTCAGGATTTTGTTTTTTAAAGAACAAAATCTTGCTGAATTTTACAAATAGTTTCTATTTGTTCTTTGTTGGTTGCAGCCAAGTTTCTAGCATATGGTGGTGTCTACTAGAATTTCACCAGATCATACAGAGAAGAAAAACAATGTAACCTTGCATGCTATTTGTTTTCCTTATTAAAGGGTTCTTAAAAGCCCTGAACTAAACAAACAAAATAGCAGACCATTAATTCAAAAAATAGACCATCTGAAGCATTTAAACCTATGTGTCAAGTTCACCCACATACGAAAAAAAATGGTCTGACCCAATAACCAGCCATGCTTTTCCAAGTGGCATCAGCTGACATTTAGAGAATCACCACATGCAGTTGACCATAGTTTCCCAGGCATTTCTGACCAACGAAGTCGGGAAAGTTTTACACAGTTCTGGTGACTTGTCGATAAGATACATATTTTCAATACATTGTTCAATAACATATTGATTACTATAGGATACACATACAGATTGTTTGTATGTTCAAACCCAATACTCCCAGCAAACTGCAGAAACCATCCTGAGTTTGGGGCCAGGAAGGCAAACTCTCAAAGTGATAGTTTAGAGACACAGTTGGACATTTCTGGATTCTGCCATGTCTCATGCACAGATCTATATGAAAAATGTCTGAAAGACTAAGCACAGGGATAGCTCCCCATTCTATTCTCCACTCCTAGCCCACAAGAAAGAACTTCTTATTCTACTTTTTCTAGTTGGTCCGTGGACATATAAATTAAAGAGGGAAAGGGTTTTAAAATATAGGCAAGGATCAGTCTGATGCATACATGCAGCTCAGTATTACAATCAAGTATGAAAAGTCTCATAAGAAGTACATCAGACTCCCACACTAGCCGGTACAGGTAAATAGGTGGCAGAACTCTCATCTGAATGAGACAGTGTAGACCTTTAAGAATCCCAAGGAGAGTGGCAGAGAACAAAAACATGTGTGCAACTTGCAAGGGAATTTTGCAAGTGCCTTGCCCTCTCTTGGCTGCGCCTGTTGTTTTTAAAGGCTCCAGCAGATAGTTTCCAATCCCATATATCAAAGATCAGGATTTTTTTTAAAAATGTGAGTGTCTGTTGTATATAAACACAAAGACCACAACTTCCAAAGAAAACACAGTTTGTCTAAAAATCACAGCGAAGCCCTCACCTGTGAAAGCATTTGTAGCCTGGAAACCAGCTTCCTGCATACTGCTCTCCCCGAAAGTTTGTGATTCCAGTCTTAAGCTGTCCTTTTAGAGGCAACTTTAGGTTTGAAGCAGTCAAGTTACTTCCATCTTTGCCTATCAGTGTCCATTTCTTCCCCGCAGTCCACCATTTGACATATCCAATTCCCACCTGTTCCCAGATTCTTTGAGCCCTTGGTAAAAAGGATGTGTGTCAAATTCAAATGCAAAGGTCAGGTGCCTCAACCATCCCGCCAGAGAATTTTGGCCATGGTGTCTGAGTAAAGGAAAGCAGTCATTCCACACATTTTTAAAAGTTGCAGTTTTCAAAATGTAGTTCTAACACTAAGTTCAGAGAACATCACTGGTGTTTGTCTCTTTCAGATTCATCCGAATCAGGTCTTCACTTGTCTTCTGTGTTTTCTTATGGCTTCACCTTTCCCTCAGGTAAGCTGAAAAATTAAAAAAAAAGGAAAAGATGTTTCTTGATGACTGATAGCAACATTCACAACATTCAGGGAGCAAGACCATAGAAGTGCATTGGCGCACACACAGCCCCATTTAGTAAGGATGGATTGTGCACATTAAAGGAGATACGTAGAAGTAAAGTATCATATTTTTGCTAAGATACAAATTGTGACCACAGAACCTTTTGAAATGCAAACAGAGACAATGCTGAAGATGTCTGTTGCATTTCTGAATATTATTTGATTTACACTTCAAAAGACATATTTAGTAGAGATGGGGTAGCAGTACAACAATAAAATTGCAGTTAAAAGGGAAAACTTTTTTTAAAAAACAGCCTCTCAAGGCCCTTCAGTCTAAGATATATTATTTTATCAGATCTCATAATTACCATTTTATGTTCTATTATAAAACATAACTATAAATATGAAAGCTTAAATGAAATGTTTACTTTGTCTGGTAAAACCTTGGAGGAGGCCTGAGAACTTTCAGTAAATTATACCCATATCTGATCTTTGTGTCACGGAAAAATAATTATCTCTAACATCATAGCTACACTGTTAAGATTCACTAACAGTAAGCAGTTGCAGCAATGTATAGATAAAAAATAAACAAGATGATAAGCCTAAAAAATAAGAGTTGCATTGATGTTTATTCCCCTCTATTTGCCATCTCATCTGTGGGTGACAAAAGGGTGAGGGTCAGCTGAACTGGAGGAAGGAAAACTTAATTCTGGTTGTGGTTAATCTTTCATTGGCTACCAGCCAAAGGCAACCATATCTTTTTCAGAATGCTTCAGATATGATATGCCTCCCATTGATATCCATTTTTAATATTTAATTTGAAGTATTTTAAAATGTTTTCAGCCTGGGTAGTATTAAAACCATATAAGTGATATATAATAAAAACCTAAAACAAGCATTTAAAAATGAGAGATAAAATATATATCAGCGACAACAAGAGAGCCAGTATGGTATTGTAGTTAAGAGTGTGGAACTAGGACTCAGGTGACCTAGGTCCTAGCCTCTGCTCAGCAATGGAGACAATTGTGTGACTTTGGACCCGTCGCAGATTCCCAACCTACCTCACAAGGTTGTTGTTGTGAGGATAAGACTGAAAACAAGAGAAGAATGATGCAAGATACCTTGAGTTCTTAAAAGAAAAAAGGCAAACTATAAATCTAATTCATTAATAAATAAGGCTTGGCCGTAAGCTTTTCCACTAACTACCCAGGATGTGGAAGCATATTGGAAAATTCTGAAAGTCAATAATCATAGTTGAGACACAAAACGGGAGCAGCCCGTAAGAGCTGCTTTTTTCCCCAGAATACATTGAAACAGTGCTAGATTTGGAGCATTCCAGATGGGAAAAGGCCACATGGGAGAGCCCATCCACAGCTGGCCTGATAATGCCACAGAGGCCATGCTCCACAAATATCACTGTTACCTCACAATAATACTGCTAGGTAAGTTAGGCTGAGAGATCGTGACTGGTCACCCAGGATTTCATGGCTAAGAGGGACTAGAACCTGACACTTCTATTTCCCACAATCAATTAAGACGTTCCTTTGAGTTACATGGCACAAACTGTATGCAATCTGGTACACCGATTAGGAATGAAAGATAACCCAGAAAATGGTGATAGAGGGATCCTCTTCTACCTCAACCATATTTAGAGGTCATTGAGGCCCCATTGGTGAGGGTATTCAAAGATAGGCTGGACATGCACATGGTGGGCATATTGTGAGCGGAGCCGGCTGGAGCCGGTCAGACTAGATGGCCCGGGAGGTCCCTTCTGACGTGCTCTGTTTCTATGTTTCTATTTTTAGAAGCTGTCCATTATACTGTCATATAAGAATCTGAGGCAGTAACTTCTTTCTGTTGGAGAAAGTAAGCAGGTTGCAATAGGGAACTGGTTTGGAGGCACCCAAAATGGCCCCCTACACTACCTCTGACACTACACTTACCCCCTCAACTTCTAGACCAGTGATGGGGAACCACTTACAGACCAAAAGCTAAAATCAATTTCTGAAAAGCTCTTAGGGGCCTGTTTGCCTTAGGACAGAGCCAACGGAAAAATGAGCAGGCCGAAAGGAAAAGTGGTGAGTCAAAATTGACAAAGTATATGTTAATTTACCTCCAGTAAGCCTTCTAAAGAGATTTCAACTTTCAACATTTATTTATTTATTTAAAACTTTAATACGACATCCCTTATCCATAGCATCTCAGGATGGTTTACAGTCCTTAAAATCAAAATACAATGAAACAATCCATACCTACATAATAAATACTATATAACCAGTAAAAATTAAATCAAAAGCAACTGTTAAAACATTAAAATACTAATTTTTAAAATAATGATTGAATAAAAAAGGGTTTGACCTGGTGCTGAAGGTCAAAATCTTTTTGTTGCACAATCTGGGTGCCACCACAGTGAAGACCCTACTCCAAGTAGATGTTCTTTTTACCTCCTTCAGGGAGGACTCCCAGAGCAGGGCCTCTCCCACAGATCTTAAGGGGCATGAGGGCTTATAAGGAAGGAGGTATCCCTTCAGGTATCCTGGTCCCAAGCCGTTCCGGGCTTTATAGATCAAAAGCAGCACCTTGAATTGGGCCCAGACTTCAACTGGAAGCCAGTGGAGCTGGTAGAGGACCAGTGTTATGTGAGAATAATGTCCAGTGCCCATCAGCAGCCTGGCCGCTCTCTTCTGCACCAGCTGAAGTATCTGGACCATTTTCAAGAGCAGCCTTGCAGTAATCCAACAATGGCGGAAATGAACTTGGTGGGCAGCTATCTAGGGACCACAGGAGGGCCAGATTTGGCCCCTGCATCTGTGGTTCCCCACCAGTATTCTAGACCAATAGATAAATTACTGTATCAAAATAGGAATATATCCTCTTGTAATCTGCAAGCACTTGTACTGGCCAATTCAGATTTGCAATACGTACAACAGCATGCTGATAGAACAGCTATGAATCCCCTTTCCCAAAACATTATTATATTCTACATGTTATTTATAAGGCAACTACTATGCTGATGTCAAATTGAGATGTTACACAGAAGAAAACAGAGGTGCCCAGAACAATGTAGCTGCTTTTTACAGGCCCCATTTCTGGGTTTCACAGTCCCCCGAAGTTAACTTATATTGTCATTAATTCTGCTTCTTACTGGTTCATTCAGAATCTATATTAACAAGACCTGAACAGAACAGCCAGGAGGGAGAGAGGAAAGAGATCATGCCTCCTGTTTGGAAAAAATATAAGCAGGGTTTGGGCTGCTGCCACCAGCCAGAACAACCTCCCATGCCACTGGATGGTGGCCATTCTTTGCAAGGCAATGATAGCCTTTTGAGGGAGGGCTGGCCAAATAACGGAATTAGGAGAGCAGCCCTTCGGTGGAGACACTCTGTGGGCTTTTTTGAACAGTTCTTTGCACGATAAATAAGAGTTTGTTTGCCATTGGATGTATTCCGTCTACATGTCTTTTCTTGAGCTAGTATTTTTATTATAAGGATGTCACATTTTTAAGCACTCATTAAGTAATATTTTGTACCTAGGAAAATCAGACATTTCTGCCAAATAACAAATTCTGCCGCTATCATTTCTGCTGTGTAAAATGTATTGATCTGCCAAATCTACTGCCAAATGTGTTTTAGAACATTGTAGGAATGAAAACGTGGAATCAGACATTGGTTTTACAAACAAAGAAATAAGTAACACTCTGCCAGAAATACCCAGGAATGCCATTTATTGTAAAAAGTCTGACAGGGTCATAAAAACCTCTAGACCATGGGTTCTTAAACTGTGGCACCACCACAGCCTTTTAAATCAACAATAAAAGCTGGCCAAACGAGCCCAAATTCAATCGTGCTTCTGTGCTGCCATGCAATCTGAGGCAAGAGCAGTTGGCGGTAGTTGGAAACAAAGGTTTCTGCAGCATTGCTTCCAACAGAGGAATGTCTCCTGCCCAGAAGGAAGAGAAGGGAGAAGGTACTTTCCCCTTTCTGGAAACAGACAGTCTCTTTTTTTCACAGTTAAACTTGGATCAGGCTCTTAGCATCATTTGAGACAGGGGTAAAGAAAGGTGTGCTTCTGCTACCAATTATGGTAGGTGCGCAGAATCTCTCTCAGCCCAAGAACCCAATTCAATTCCCATGGTGGGCAAGGTTAAAAACAAAAGGGAGAGGGGCAAAAATGGGGAAAAAACGATCAAGTCTTAGCTTCAAGCTTCTACTGACAGTAATAAAACCTTAGGAAAGGCATTTCAACCTTGTGAAACAGTAGTAAGGAAGTGCAAAACCTGGGAAAACACCCAGCAGTCAACCATTGGGGAAAGCTGTTGGCAAAACCCTGGAGGGCTGGACTGGGACCCCATACAGGCTGGTTTGACTCATAGACCCCTGCATTATGGAATTTGCTTTTCTCTTAAGAATGAAAGCACAATGAGGGTGCTCTAATTCAGCAACATTTTGAAAGAAAGTATTTCAGCCACCACAGCAAAACAAAAACAGAGCACAAAGCCCTGGGAAAGGATGATACTTGTTCAGCCTAGGCACATGGAAGGTAGAATAAAAAAGGAAGCCATGAGGATATAGGAAACACTACTTGTCCTTGAAAAGTTACCCATCAGACAAAAATAATCAATAAAAAAGCAAACACACATTAAAAATAGGGTAGTGTCACACCATGCCAGTCTATATAGAATCAGAGAATAGTAGAGTTGAAAGGGGCCATGAAGGCCATTGGGTCCAATCCCCTGCTGGTGCAGGACACCACATTACACCATCCCACTCAGATGGCTGTCCAGTTTCTTTCTGAATGTCTCTGGCATGGGAGAACCCACCACCTCTCTAGGCAACAGGTTCCACTGTTGTATTGCTCTGTGAGGAACCTTTTCCTAATATCTAGCCTGAATCTCATTTGTTGAAATGTGACTTGATTATTCCATGTCCTACACTCTGATATCAGCAAGAAGAGATCTTCACCTT